TGGGATTGAGCCCCGGGTCCTGAGCACAGTTTTGGCTGCAGTGCAGCAGTTTAACCACTGCACCATGAGGCTCAACACAAAGACCTACGGGCTCCTGTACAGACAGTGGTTTACCACAGTTGCCCAACAAATATATGTTAACTATAAATAGATTATTTAAATCTATAGTCACTTGTGAATATAGATTTAATTACAAGAGTGACTAAGTTTTGACGTTCTCAGTAAATTCAACAGGGCTAATGTCATGGTTATGTCCAAAGGGAAGTTGATTTGCTTGGATCACATGGTCGCTGTGATAGGAAATCAAGTCCTTCCTTACTGAATATGCTGAATATTTTGCAAGTCAAACTTTTTTTCCTCCTCCTATGATTGTCAACCCCCTGATCTCACCCTCCTGCTTTGTGTACTAGCTATGTACTTTCCTCCTGCCTATTTGGTCTCAAAATAACCAGACTTCAGTCAGATTAGCAATTGATTCTTTTATGGCTATCTCATTGGTCCACTATCTTACCCTTATATAAAGGATTTCATCATCATCTTAGAACTGCAGAACTGGAAGGGACCTTTTTGCCTAAGGCTTGTTATGCAACATATACAATCCTAATTCTGACTACATTTCTTTCATATTGTGTTCATGGCGGTCATAAAAAAAGGTTGAGAATGGCTTTTTAGAGCACCGCCCAGGTAACAGCTGGAGACTCTCAAATCTTAAATTATCACTTTTAAAATTACAATTTCCAGAATCCTTCAAGCAACTTGATCATCCCAGGGTAACTACTGATCACCATTTGTGGCGCTGGAGATTCAAGAAGGGCACCTCAGCCAGCTTCAGAGTGGGTTCTGCTGCTCTGCTGGCACCCTAGGAGCAGCTCAAGATATTATATGGCACTGCTGGTCTTGCACTCAATGATCTGACTAGTGGAATGTTCATGTTCACCAAAACATATTTGAAGCAGGAGGTGCTTTAAATCACATGTGTGAAAAGTGTGTTTAAGGTACTGGCCTAGGGCTATTCTTTGTCTAACCCCTTTTAATGAAATAACTCTAGGATATTCTAGCCCAAAGGAGTCCCTATAAATCCCTATAAATCTAACATCCCTATAAATGCAACATCATCTAGACCAGTGGTCCCCAACCTTAGGCCTCCAGATGTTCTTGGACTTCAACTCCCAGAAATCCTGGCCAGCAGAGGTGATGGTGAAGGCTTCTGGGAGTTGTAGTCTAAGAACATCTGGAGGCCCAAGGTTGGTAACCACTGATTTAGACCACTTTCTCCAACTTGCTGCTCTCCTGCTATATACAAACTATAATACTGATCATCCCTGACCATCAGCTACACTGGCTGGGGCTGATGGAAGTTGCAGCCCTCCACATCTGGAGGATAGCAGATTTTAAGATGCTGCTCCAGATGCTGCCACTGGAGCAGTCCAAAGAACTCATTGGCAGAGTATGGAAGAGACATTTTCTCTATTTAATATTTTTTAAAAATTAACCAAATGATACCAGCAATGTGGAGAAACCTATATGGGTTTGGTTTAATTAAGGTTTTTATCTGAGCAAGCATATTCCTTTAGCCAGTTTAGTGTAGTGGTTAAAATGTCTGACTAAGATCAAGGAGACCAATTTGCCATGAAACAAACAGATGTCTTTGAGCCAGTCACGTACTCTTAGCCCGACCTACCTATCAGGGTTGCTGGAAAGGAAGGAGAGGCGTATACACTCTGCCTTGAGTTTCTTGGAGAAAAGGTGGAATACAAACAGAAAAGAATAATCTCAAATAAATTTGCACAACACTTGTCAGCCCACTCAGACAGACAGCTGGGGGTGGTCGACAAAATGCTTTCCCTTCTAATACAAAATATAAAGTTGTAAACAATGGGGGAAAAAAATGCTGTTTGTGAATAAAAGGTTC